AAAAAAAAAAAAAAAAAAAAAAAAAAAAAAAAAAAAAAAAAAAAAAAAAAAAAAAAAGGCTTTGTATAAAATAGGCTTAAAGAAGAAAATGAAGCATTGGGGTGCACCGCTATCTTCGTTTCCGCTGTCTGGATTTTGTTTCCGTCTTCCGCTATTGTCGAAGCAGAGAGAAACAAGAACAGTCCCATTTTCACACACTAAAATATTGCAAATTCTTCGGAGCACTTTGCGTATCAAACTCTCTCTCTTTTCTCTGCTTAAAAGCTATTATACTTCGTTGACTACTTTGGACTCCGCTTTAAACCTGATGATGAATTCTCCCTTTTCCTATTTCTTCAGCTTGTCGCTTCTCAAATCCGTCTTTTTCGCCGTCGCCGTCGCCGTCGCTGGTCATCTCCCCCACCCACTGTTATCTTCCATTTATCGAACCTTTTTGTGGTAACTGATTCTATGGTTCTGTGCTTATTCTGTTTGCTTCTTGTACCTCTTGGGTTTTGAGGCTAGGGTTCTCTGAAGCCCTAGCTCTTGGGACATTATCTTCATGTGGATTACCGGCGGAGGTTTATGAAGTTTGTAGTGTAATCTTCTTTACGTGGGATTTGTTTATCCTGGTTGTTGTTGTTGTTGCCATTTATTTGATTTTGAAATGAAGCGGTTGAAATCTTGCGACGATCTCGACTCGTACGCGGAGAAAAATCCGGGTAAGGATCTTGTGTTGAGTCGGTCATCGTCTTCACATCGAGTATTTTATCATAAATCCGAGGCTATACGGAAGAATCTGTCGTCTTCGTCTGGTAGATATTATCGGGATCGATCAGGGGATGAGGATCGGGAAGGTTTGAGGCTGGTGCGTAAGCGATCAGATTATGACTTTGAGGGGTTTGATCGGCGAAAAGGATTCGATCGGTTTCGGGAAAGCGGAGAGAGTAGGGACTATGCTGGTAGTAGTGGCGGTGGAGGTGGAGGTGGAGGTGGAGGAGATCGTATTGCGCCTCGCAGGTCGGAAAGCTACTCTGGGTCTCGCAGAGAGTACCCTAAAGGGTTTCGATCAGAGCGGGACAGGTCCGGGAGAGAAGGTAGTGTATCTT